ACTTCTTATTTGCCTTGGAGAATCTTGAAGACAGAAAGGGATTTCATCTAATAAGTTTAACCCTAGTGTCAAACCATCGTGGTAAGACTCAAAACAATATTTCTTGAACAGAACATAGATTGAACTCCTTCACAAAGCTAAGAAGCAACCCACACATCACCACCACACCTCTCTCCCTGACCTATTCCTTAAGATATCCCAAGAGCCCTCCAGTTGGAGGCAAGCATCTCATCCCACAAAGCCCAAGCTAACTCTACCTTCATCTACAATGTACACCGGCTCTTCCTGAACACACCACTCCCTCCCTCTCAGTAAAGCAATTCTCCGACCCTCCCCTCCACCATCGATGACATTCTGGAGCTTTGCCCATGGCAGCCACATGCACCTGATGATCATTTCTCTTCCCTCTTCTCCATTGTTGCCGCCAGCACCTCTGTTCGCCAAATTCTCATCTACAAAATTTCAAGGGTGAGTCAGGAATTCCAAAACATAGTAACACATGGAGGTTTCCTTTGGGCTACCAAGTGAAAGATTCATTAGAAGGTGAAATGCAAGCATATGGGGTCAGGGATGACTTTGCCAAGTCCTTCCAACAAAAGGCAATGGCTATGTGCGTATGTGCACCATCATTAGTTGAAGAGTTTTTACTACAATATTTGTGAGAACTTTGTCACTAATAACTAGAATTTCAAAAAAGATTCACAAGGAAAAATTCACTAAGGTAAGAATTCTCAAAGAAAATCCAACAAGCTACAGTCAGAATTTTCTTATTAGTAAACAGCCCCATCCTGATTAAAATTTAAGTCAAATTAATAAGAAATTTTAAAAATTTATCTTAGCCAGGTGTGGTGGGCCACACCGGTCTGTACTCCCAGCTATTCCGGAGGCTGAGGCAGGAGCACTGCACGTTTAAGGCCAGCCTAGGTAACTTAGCAACATCCTGTCTCAAAATATATTTTTAATTATTTTAAAATTTAGATCATTGGTAAAGCACTTGCAAGGTCCTAAGTTCAAGCTCCAGAATCTTGTTACACACACACAAACACCATCAGTTAATATTATGAATATTCTAAGTCTAACCTCTTTCCGATGATTCCAGCTTTGGGTTCTATATCTTGTCCTACAGGACTTTTGTCAGGCAAAGGATAGCAAAAGAAAATAGATGAGTAAAACAAAATCTTTCAAGAAGCAAAGTATGAGATGCTTTGCTTTCAAGAAGCAAAGTAAGCAGGAAACGGTGAATTTCCCAGTTTTAAGCCATTTAATTAAGCCTTAAACCAAAAAGGGAGCCATGAGCTGTTTCGCCTCCAAAAGGAAAAAATAGTAGAATCACTTTTGTGTTTGTAATGAAGCAGGTCCACTGAGCATCTTCTGCAAACGTTAAATAATGATCACATCACATCAAATATGAAAACCCCTTATTATTTATTAAATGCATCCCTGGCTCACAAGAAGCCTTTTCAGTGAGATTCTCGAAGGACTGTATAAATGCTCTCTCATTATCATACACCTTCGTTTGATAAGGTAAGTATCTTCATCTCCATTTCAGAGTTAAGGGTTAACAGAAAGGTTAAACAAATTATGTAAACTTATACCAAAAGTCTGAAAATGATAGAGACCAAAACTTTTTATCCCTTGAGAACTAAAAGCCCTTCTTTAAAATTAAGCAACTTACCTAATTATTTTTAGGAGTGTGTCTCTCATAAATAGGATATTTTATTCTGCACATGACGGTACAGAAAGAGAAGTCACAAAATAATAGCTGTGCTAAATAAAAAACCAGTGTGATTTCCAGAATCCTTTCTATTCTCTGTACCCACCCATGTGGCTGGAGATTTGAAATGCTATTTAAGTCTCATTTTCCTTCAGAAGCTAACCTCTGTGGAATAAAATGCCGTTAAGGGGGGATCTTTTCTGTCATTTGACTTTAACTTATGATAAATTAGCTTCAACTAGTTTCTTAGAAAATTGCCCAAGAAATGACTACAGAAAATTAAATACCAAGACTTCAAAGAGGCAAACACACAGCCTTCAAATTCCAACCTCAGAGAATAATCTTCCCCTTCTCATGCTTCACAGAGATGTGAGTAAAGAAATCATACTAGGGCATGGTAATGAACCATCTTTCAAATGACTTCCCTATCAATCTTCTTTTCAAAGGGTAATAAAGTGATGATTATTTCTAGGCAGTTTCTGGGAAGTTATCATCTCATTTCAATAGTCACCTGTAAAGGATGCATTCTGGTGCTAACCTCGATACGGATAGGGGAAGGAACTGGGTGAGAATTCAATAGCAAGTGTAGGTGGTTAAAAGCTATTTCTTAGAAAATTAAAACAGAGAGGGATCAAAAGAATTGTGTTAGGTCTTCGAGAATTGGTATTATTTCCTTGTAGATTAAAAATGCAAATCTGATTTATTACCTAGCAGAGGAATGAAATTCACTATCACTCGAAGGCTTTATTTTTTTAATGTACTGTGTAAAGTGTATTAGGTGTCATGCTTTGTTCTAGATGCTGGTGGCTGAACGCACAACACACCGTGTAACAGCGACACTGTGTCATGACTTCTAGAACCAGAGTTTTCAGTCTCCTCTAAAATAACTGATACAAACAACAAAAAGCTTTTAAAGTGCTGACTGAATGATTGCTGGGAAGTCTGAGTCACTAGGTACTTGTTTTGCAAAGGCATAAAACAAGGCTCAGAAATAGTCAAAGCTGTATAGAATTTTATTCTTCAGAGCTATAAGAAGCTTTAAGATAGCAGGGGCAAAAGTCACTCCAAGAAAATACAGGCTCATGGAAAGAAAACGTTATGAAATTCCCTGAATCCTGGCTCTTTTCTGGTCATAAGATTCAGATTCCATTTTTGATACAGCCTTTCCGCTCAGAAAAGGATTACATGGTTCCTCGGGCATTCCTAAAACCAGCCCTAGCTATATCTTATTTGCCCTTAGTCTTTTATCCCGATCTGAATCTACTGTCTGGGCAGGTGGAACATGGGACACATCTCTAGATTTGACATTTGTTCACACAAGTCAAATTTTTCAACATATACTAGAAATCTGAGCTTGAAATAAACAAAAAGGCAAATGGGACATAGAGCTTTCTGAGGACAGAGTACGCTCTGCTCACTGTGGCATCTTCAAAATTAACGCAGTTCAGAAAAGGCACTTAATAAATATCTGTTGAACAAAATTGACAGAACGAATACTCTATTCCTTCGGGATCAGGAGTCACTCAAAGTTAAGTGTCACATCATATGCAAGCAATCCCAGGGAACTCTGCCTAGTAGTTCATCTTATTATTATGGAGATTTTTCTTAAAATTAAAGAGAAAAGCACACCACAGGTAACTGAAATCAAACTGTATTTGCTTTCAAGTTCCATTCCAGGTAACGAGTCCTGAGTCAACGAATTGATGGATTTGGTTTGGCTTTTTGAGGGGCAAACTCCTTTCCTATGTAACTCAGCACTGAACTGAGGACCAAAAATCTCTTATTGATTTATAGAATAGGATTAAGCCCCCCCCAAAAAAAACTATGAACTTTTTATCCTCATTACCAATCAAGAAATGACATGAATTTCCTGCTTCCCACTAAGACCAAAGCAAAGGGGACAAAATATTAACCCTCATATTGGCTCAAATGTAGACGAATGAAGTTCAATTCCTGGCCAACAAAACCTTTGACTTTTCACCCCACTAGGTGACATTTTCCCCGAAGGATTATGCAAAAGCAGAGATTTAAAAGGAGGCTCCTGCTGTGAACTTGTCTTTAAGAAAGGAAATCTGTGCTGCCTCGGCAAGATCCAATCGTTCAACTACATAACATCAGAGTGGAGGTTCTAGGGTTTGTTTAAAGTGGCACGTTTTCAGGTAGAGCTTAAATTCAATGATGTGCCTACTTAGTGCAGTTCCTGGTTTGAAATACTATATTGTTTGTTGTGCACATTTAAGAGCTACACGAACTTTTTAAAATAACTGACACATTGATAAGTTCTTAAATATTTGTTCATTGCCTTTGAGTCATGTGATCTTAATGTCTTAGAAAGCTGTTAAAGCATTAGCCTGTGTTAGTTCTTCAAGTGATAATCAGTGGAAGCAAATAGGAAGCTATTGTTGGAGCACCGTTTAGTGCTACGTACAGTTACCAAAAGGCCAGTGGCATTTGAAGTACCTGTGCTCCACATTTAATGAATTTTTTCCCTTTTACTCTTTAAATGGGATTAGAAATTCTGCATGAACTAATACTTGATTGTTTAAGCTAGCAGGGTACACTTCAGAGCACTAATCACTACTTGTGTAAGTATAGTTAACAGACATTTCCTTGCTTTGTAAAAAATAGAAAATAAATAAAAGGAGGCTCAGAAGCAAGTCACCTAATGTAAAGAAGAGATAAAGGCGAGCTGAAAATTGTGGAAAAGGTTACAGTAAGCAAAGAGATGCAGAAGGAGAGGGGAAAAGATTGCCAGTCCCCCTTCCTTCCACTTGTTTGCAAAGCCGATGCCTGTAATAGGGTAGGATGATCTCAACCACCATAAAGCAGGGGCAGCCAGCCCCTGACAGGTGCTATGTAGGGCAGCTTCCAGGGACTCTTGCTTTGGGCCACAGAAACCAATGACACAGTTTCAAGGCGGACTTAAGCGACTGGAACTACACAGTGGATGGACACAAACACCTGCACGTGTTCTCAGCCTGAAACCATGTCCTACCTCACAGGCCACAACACAGAGTAGTTTGCCCTGTACTATTTTACGCAGGGCTTTAGACCATGTGGGGCGTTGTGGACAGTGATTGCGTCAGTGCTATAGTATTTCTGAGCTTAAGGGTAGGAAGCCCTTACTTAGTATCTTCCACTTTTACTCATTAAAATAAATTTTTTTTTTTTTTTTTTTTTTGGTACCGGGGATTGAACTCCGGTCGTTGCACTTGCAAGGCAGGCCACCGAACCGCTAAGCTAAATCCCCAGCCCCTAAAATAAAATTTTAGAACAAAATGTATGAGCATACGGTTTAGATGTCCCCTTTTCTTTCTTTCAGAGAAAGCTGCAATTCCCTGCATTCTGTGATTTAATGACAGCATTTTCTCCTGTCGAGACTTCACCAGGACGGTTTCTAGTGGTTGACTCAGGAGTGTGCTCCTATCTGTGCAAATACACCCTCATCCCATTGTCTTTCTGCTGTTGCCTCTTAAAGTCTTATACTGCTAGACAGGAAAGAAGTCAAATAGCCTTTTAATGTGCATATACATATATATGTATACATATATATGTATGTATATACATACACACACACCTATTTATATGCCTAAGTACAATCTGTGGGTAAGGTGGTAAATAACTGCGGGACTACAGGGGCTAAAGTGTGCACATACAGTGAAAAATAAATTAAATTCATCCGCCTTGTTCTTCAGTGCACAGGATTCTGCTCCAAGCATCTGGGGAAAGCAATGAGTTATAAAGGAACAGTACTGCCAGCTCACTCGCCCAAGGATCTTCTGGTAAAACTTGAGAGTACACAGAGGTCAGTGTCGTCTCTGGGCAGGGTGAGTCATGAGACTCAGAGGGCCACCTGTGAGGCCATCCTAACAGAGGCTCTGATGTCACCAGGACCACGCCAGTGAATCTATGTCACCACAGAATTCAGGCCAGAGCAGGCACAGAGAGCAATCGCCTTCTTGCTCCTCTCATTGTTAGAGTCGTGTTTGATCTTCTGAGGAATTTCCATTTGTTGAATGCCCCGCTGCTGGTTCCACGTCCTTCTCAAGTCCAAAGTTGGAATTGACCCTTCCAGGGGAATAGTCATTCCTTTTTAAATCTGTAAGAAAGACAAAACCATTTCAGGGGGAACTCCACTGACCACAAGGACTTTCAGCTTTGCTGGGTGTTCAGGAAGGGCTCTGCTGCTCAGGGACACAGATCTCAGAAACCAAACCCTGACTGTGTCCACATCCAGTGCGTCCCTGCCGTCAGAGCCCCAGGTCAGCACAGCAAGGAAAGAAAGATTCCAGTGACTGCTGGGATCAACTTTCTGCGACAAGAGCTGTTCCTCAGGTTTAGTACCACCTAGAAGAATCTCATTCAATGCTCAGACACAGTGCTTCCTAAGCCCACCCTCTTCCATTCGAGAAAAGGGATACAAAAAACAAACACAAACAAAAACTCATAATGAATAGAGAAGAATATGCTTTAAATGTTTGTGCCCCCTTTGGTGCCATGCTGAGTATATGCTAGCCTTAAACACGTTTTGAGGGAGCTAGGTGTGTCACTTAGTGGGAAAGCTCATCTTTAGTGTCTGTGGGCTCTGGGATTCAATCCTCAGCATCAAAGAGAAAAAAATATATATCTTGGTTTTTTTGTTTGTTTGTTTGTTTTATTTTGTTGGTTTTTTTGTTTGTTTGTTTTGGTACTGGGGATGGAACTCAAGACCTGGTGCTTCCAAGGCAGGCAGTGACACCACTGAGCTAAATCCCCAATCCTGTCTTGTAATTTTTAATATTAAATGAGATTCTCTAGACATAAAACGAATACATATTTAATAATAACCAACATTTTTTAGTATATATTATTTAATACATATATCACTTAATTCAATCTTCAGAGCAACTCTCTGAACACCCCCGGTACACAAATGGGAAAACAAATGCCTAAGGTCATACAGCTAAGCACAAAGCAGGACTGGAACATGAGCCCAAGCTTCCTGGCTCTAGGTGCCTTGCTCTTATACATTGTCCTAAATGTACTCTCTTTAAAAAAAGAAAAGAAAGCCACCTCTAACCTTGCTTTCAAAACTAAACATTTTGAATTCAGATTTAAAAGAATCTGAGGATATTCCTTATCTCCACTTACGTGTTAGCTAGAATCTTAGGTTTGGAAAAGAAACACAGAGCAGGTGTAAAGATGGAAGAATTATTGAACTGCTCATTCAAAACCCACCAGTGTATCATAACAACATGATTTCAACCTCAGTCATGCAGAACAGGTAACCAGGCTCAAGAATCAGAAGTAGTGAGCCTGGCTCCTGGACGATCAGATGCTTCTGTCTTCAAGAACAGAGGTTGTTACCCCACGCAGGGTACAGCAGATCAGGCTGAGAAGAGGCCAGTCCTGGGGACTCTGAGGTAACCGCTGGGACTCCAGCCTGCCCCCGTAGGCTCAGTCAGATATTTACCAGCTTCCACCTGTCACGGGCCCCTTACCTGGAGGTCTGATGCTGCTTAGTCCAGCCCCAGCCCATTCCTGGAGTCTTTCTGACCAAAGAAGGGAAGAAGGGCTGGGTGCCAACCTCCTCACCAGTCTGATGTGTCATTTGTGAGGTGGACTCCGGACTCTTTCCTCTTTGTTCCATTTTGATCTCCCACGGTATGGACATCGCCACCCCTGGCTGATGCACTGTATTCCCACTCCAAACCGAGTCTTCTGCTTAATCTTGCCCACAGAAGCTGCCCTGCTCTCTAACTCCAATAGAACTAGAGATTGCCCTTCACTGTTGTACATTTTCACCTGCTGCACCCCACATTACAGTCAGGGTATGATAATTTTGGATTTGTTGTTGTTGTTGTTGTTACTGTTGAAGGGGTGGGGGTCTCAATATGTTGCCCAGGCTGGCCCTGAACTCCTGGGCTCAAGTGATCCTGCTGCTCCTCCAGTAGCTAGATTACCACACCTAGTTCAAGGGTATGATCATTTTTTATAAAGCAACAAGGCTACTCAGTTTGAAACACGTGAAATTTCAGTGAAAGAGCAAGTTTGCCGTGACCTAGGAAGACAGCAGAGAAACTGGAGCAGACATCAAGTGCCTCTCTGAGACAAAGGAAAGTACGACAGAGCGGGGACGCCAAGCTGGAAGTCAAAGACCTCCAGCTGTTTGCTTTTACACTGGCGATATTTTCTATGGTCATGGCTATATTGGTTGCAGAGAAAGTGCGCCATATTACCACATTGGTTTTTTAAAAAAATATTTCAATGTGGGATTCAAGAGGCAGATTTTTTTTTTTAATTGCTGGGGTGTAGCTTAGTGACGGAGAGCTTGTCTAACGTCTGAAAGGTGCACAATCTCCAGCTCCACAAATGCAAATAAATAAAGTGGCAGGTTTTCACAGTGAAAAACACTACTCTCATTGACAGCCTGGTGTTTCCCTCTTGTCGTACCCCGCCAGGGGTCCCACGGGCATGTTAGAAATGTTATGGATGCCATGTGTGGGTGCAAGCAGGTCTGAGAGGGGAGCAGCAGGGCTTTGGTCTGATTTCACCCCATTTAAATCAGTGGAACTTTTAAAGTGGCTGTGACAAGTGTCAGGCCCCCTGTTGTTTTATCTCATTTTGGCAGAACCTAAAGCAAATCCCTGTCCTTTTAATCCCTTTAGAGTCTTAAAATTTTGCAGTCAAAAAGTCAGGCTCTGCAAATGACTGGGAATGAGATAAAAATGTGATTAAGATTTTCTCCCCAGTTACAATGGATGTTGTTCTATGAGAGATTTACTTAGAGGAAAAGCAGAACTGTTTGTGACATACCCGGGAGTTTGAGTTTCCGGCAGCAGGAGTTGCAACGATGTTTTGCAATGAAGTTTCTAATTGCGTGTTCCCCTACATTGGCTGGCCCAAACACCATTCCTCTTGATCTAGGGGAAACAGCAGAATATCAATTAGATCACAGCTGATGAAAAGGAGCTCAACCAGGATTCTCTGAGATACCGAACAGTATCCCGTGGTAACCCAGTAACTTGAAGGAGCCAACAAAGAACAGAGCACTTTGGGGAAGGAACAATGTTAGGTTTGCAAATTTAAAATTCAAATGCACTTAAATCTTTGTACCCAACACCAAGACCTACTGTGAAACTCAGTTCAACGCTAATCTGATAGAAGAGTGAATTTTCTATGTACCACATTTTTTAAAAAATGCAGTGAAACCCTTTCTAATGCATATGGGGTGAGAGAGTGACATTCATTACCAAATGTTCTACCAGAATACTGGAAAGGTAAGGTATGAAGTAAACTTGCTACTGGAGCACACCTTCTAAAAAATGCATATACAGCATGTTGTTGCTGGCACTATACTTTTCTTAAACTAACCATCCTCAAAAACAAATATCTGACTAAACCTGAGAGCCAGCATTCATGGCTTTTCTGAAAGCTACTCTGTACCCAGAAAACTCTGTAACGAGGCTGTTTGTAGTGAGACTATTAGACAATGTGTTTGTTTGTGGACATAAACCACATATGCTCAATGCAGGTGACACAATTACAAGTGAAATCAGCATATGTAAGGCACATTTCAAATACTCTGTCATTATAACAGATCCCTGCAGATTCTAGGTTCACTGTTCACCCATTACGGCACCTTATACAGTACAACCATCCTTCAGATTCTGACGCTCTGCACATCACGGAACACAGCGCACCAGAAACACTTCTGAAGAAACTTTATGAAAGCTAATATTTTATTTTAATGACATGCAGTGTGGAAACAGCACATTTGAAAATCTGAACTCAATTACCACTCTTAAATACCACGTTTTAAGAAAAAAGCAAAGCAAACTATCACAAAAGGAAACAATAAACTTTGCTTCTGAGGAATGCGGTTTTTCAAAAGAGACATGGTGTAAAAATGGACCTTTTTCATCCGAGTATTGAAACATTTATCTCAACTTCCACTTCCTTTTGGCAGAAGAACAGTAGCTGCTCTGAAGATGTGCCAAGCTCAGAACGAGGGCTGATGTCAGTTTGATCTCCGATTGCCTCTTTTCTGTGTGGCAAGTAGGTGGAGGAACTCTCTTGGGAAGACGGAGTAGAAAGACACTCAGGATTAGCTTTCCTGGTCACTCAATCACTCCTACAAAGGACAGTTCTGGTGACAGTTACCCGGCTGCCTAAGCCGCCTCTTCTTATCACTGGCTCTCTCAGTCCATCTGGTAAGACACTGCTTCAATAAGGTGAAACTGAAAGTGGCCAAAAAGTAGCTTCCCTCTGTATTTAAACCAGAACTCTCCGATCCCGATAAAGTGAAAAATGAAGGTGTTAGTTTAGTCGTTAACATGGAAGAATTCCTTCTTGTAGTCTCTCCAGCATGACCTTACTGGAATATCTCACTTGTTTGCATTTCATACTGCCCTTTCTTTCATTCCAGGAAAGCATGAAATCCCCAGCTTAGAAATACAACATTAAAGGAAAAGACCCAAACAAAAGAGAGAACTACAGGCCAATCTCTCTAATGAATAGATGCAAA